GGGAGTAGGTCCTGCCAGGGCCTCTAGGGGGCATTATAGAGCATGTGCCCCACTGGAAGGGCCTACCTTGGGTTCTTTGGTGGAGGGCTGGGTCTGTTAATTCTGTGGCGCTTCTAGACAGCCCATGCATGAGCAAGGACTAGCATAAGACCATCCTCAGTAGCAGGAAGCACTGAACGTCATGGGGGACATGGCGAGCACCCGTGGCTCTTCTCCGTCCACCCAGCAGGTATTTCTCGCACATGCATTTGAGGAAGCTACAGGCCCATGTTTCCCCGAAAGCTCTGCACAGATTTCAGGAGACCACAGCAGTTTCTCATGCTGCCATCTAAAGCCTGTCCTTCTTTCTTTTGACTTGACCTAGAGGCACAAATATGCTCAAGCTACATCTAAAACTGGATATGTGTGAGTAGCAGTGCCCCTGATCTGGGCTGGGGGAGGGGCCATGATTCAAGCCCTTTTCAGCCACTTGCTTGCTGAGTGACTTCAGGCGTGGTGCTCTCTCAGTCTGTGTCTCAGTAACCTCCAAAGTCAGGCTTAAAGATGCTCAGCAGTAGGGTGACCAGCCCGTCTGCACCCTCAGAGCAGCCATGCATCCTCCAGGCCATGGCTTGAGACACAGATCATTTGCACTGAGAATAATAACAGAATTCAAATTTGAAAGTAATGTTAAAATACAGAACAGATATAAGAGTGCAAGGTCCTGTCGTCCTTGCATTGTTTATATAAGTCCAGCCAGCTATGGGTCCATATTTCTTCCTATCCCACAGCTCCAAAGGCAAATCACCCACTTCCAGTGGTGTCCAAAGGAGGGAGGGCTTGCTGGTCTGGGCTAGTGGCAACGTGCTACCTTGCCGTCCATCCTTGGCGCCTTAGGAGCCTCTTGGTAAGTTTAAGGGGACTTGGCTCTTTGCCTTAGGCTGGCTTTAGGGGGCACTCACGCCCTGCTCCCTTACGGGGGAGCGCCCTCTGTTAGCACGGTGAGAGGATCCAGCGTGCTGGTTTCAGGAGGCCTGAGCCCAAGTCCTTGCTCTGCACCTTTCCCTGGAAGTTCACCTCTGAGCCTGCTTGCTCAAGATCCATGTGCATGCTAACACTGACCTCAGGAGCTCTGCTTAGTGCAGGGTGCAGGCCCAGGCAGGGAGACCGTGTGCCTGCCGGCCGCAATGAGGGCGTTAGGGTTCCCTTTGTGATGCTGCCTGCCAGGTGTGCACATTCTCATTCTCTTTCTTGGGTGGTGAGACAGAGGGGCTGGCAGGAGGGGAGCAAAGGTGTGCTCCTGCTGGCCGGCTCCCCATGGTCTATGTGAAACTTGCAAGAGAGGTAGAGGATCCCTAGATCAGGCAGGTGCAGGCCCAGGCAGACCTGAGCCACACCGCGTCCCCCGCCACTCCCCCTCCCCTGCCACGGGGTCCCCGAGCAATAGAACGACTGGCTGTCAAATATACACACTGGGAATGATCTCTGCATTCCACTTTGGGGTCATTCTGGGCACAGCCTCCTTAGCTGGCAAGAAGCAGCTAGACTGGCCCCGCCATGTTCCCCCCACCAGGAGTGCCCTGGGAGGGCCCAGGGCTGCCTTCTGTCCTGTGGCCTCTCCCTCTCTGGTTTGTTTTTATTTGATCCATCTCTGAGACTCAGAGAGCTGGTGCCTTGCTGGGAGGGGAACACAGTGGTCTGGCTCCCAAATCTTGGAAAGAGGGGCAGGGAAGTGAGCAGGACTGGCCATCAGCAAGAAGCATTCGTTCCTTCATTTAATCCCTCACTCCCCAAATATTGATTGAGCCCTTCCTGGTGACAGCTGTATTCCAGACAGCGTGGGGACCACACAGGCTTCGTGCATGTGCAACAGCCAGGCCCACTGCATTGTCCGACCCGGCACGAGGGCGGGAGTCCCGACATTGCGTGTTCCCTGCCCCGTGAAATTAGACCTTCCCTCCATCCGGTCCTGTCTCAGAGGGTTTTCATGAGACTAAGCAGATAGGCCCAGGAAGGGTAGTGCATTGACTGACCTGTGACACGAGCTCCATGCTTGAGGCCATGCTTGCTACTGAAGCGATGGCTTGGCAGGAGGGGCCACCTGAGCATGACATCACGTGTGCCAGTTTCCAATCTGGGTGACAGTCCATGGGCACTTGGCCCAGGCTTTGGGGGAGGTTGGGGGGCAGGGGAGCTGAGCAAGAAGGTTCTCTAGTTCTTCTTTGGCCTCTACCCATGTCTAAACTGCTAGCGCAACTGATGGGGCTGGATTCTCTGTAGGCCTGTGTGAACTCCGAGTCCCCCAGCTTGGATGTCACCAACAGGATGCCGCTCAGCCATACCCGGGGTCACTCCCGAGTCAGGCAGGATTCAGACCAGCTGAGTTCCTGCACTGCTCCTCTCTCCAGGGCCTGCCACTGTGGAACTTTGTGACTTCTATCTCGCTCAGGAGGCTGTAGAAGTCACGACACTTGGACTGTGGACTGCTTTAAAGAGTAGGGAGTTGATGAGGCAGCAGAGGGCCAGGACAGCACCCACTGGAAAGTTCTATACTGCCAAATTCACTTTCAGCCCCTATCACAGGAAGTCTTAAGAGTGTCTCACCCTGGGCTAACAGCCTTTACTGCCTCTCCTAATACTTGTTAATGGCTCTCTCAGCAAAGAGCCAACCACAGGCTCCCAGGAAACTGGATCTAATTAGAATATAAGGATAGTTTTGTGCTCATCCTGTATTTATTTCTACTATCTAATTACGACAGGTGATAATGGCTTCTCATCTAGGTAGTGCTGAAGTATTTCCTTTCACAATGTGAGAAAGATAAGGGAGTCCACTTAGCAGGTTTATCTAGGGTCACAAAAAGAGGAAAGATTTCCCAAAGGTGGTATTTGAAGGAGGGGCTGGGGATCATATACTAAATTCTTCCACTTTGTATCAGTCTAATTTCGGGTGACTTCTCTGACCCAGATTCACATCTATGAAACGAGAATGAGAATATTGCTTTCTTGGGTCCCTGTGAAGACTTAGTAGCAGTAATAGTAAAGTGGTGGCGACTGATGCATCTTGAGCTTTCTCCACATGTCCCAGTGGAGTGCTGATGCAGAGTTCCTGACTTCAAAAGCCATGAGTGGAGCAAAGTGGACATGTTGAATAAAAGGGGGTCAGTCAGTGGTAGCTGTGCTCATTGCCATCACCATTTCCATCATTTGGGAAAGTTGCACGGTTCTTGCTGAGAAGCCTTGACCCCTCTCTGAGTCGCATCATCTGTAAGATGGGAAGACACTGCAAATTTAAATGGCAAATGGCATTCTTGTCATGCTCAGCGCCAGGGGCCCTGGCATGCAGGAGACCTCAAGAACAGCAGCTTTTGGTCACCCATCAGCGACCAGGCAGAGCTCCTAGGGTTGAAGTTCCAGATAAAGTCTGTTTTCCAAAGTCTCAACTTCCCCTTCAACCAGGCTGACTCCCCAAAATGACTTGATGTCTCCTTGAAGAATGGATCTCGTGCTGTCTCTTCCTGATGGACTGAGACATCTCTGTTGGTAGCTATGATTCTTATTGCAAAGATGGAAACACCTTCGTGAGAATATAAGAGAACAATTAAAGTCCAAAACTCTTAGGCCACCATGTAGAAAATTTGCAAAAAATAAAAATCCTCCTACCCAGTTGTGATTTTTAATATCTGGATATATTTTCCTTTAAATACAGTCTACACAACAATTTAGAATGGCTTACCTAGTTGCCATCATCCCAGAGTGCTGTTTCTCATCTGCTGTTCACTTAAATTCGACTGTCGGCACTGTCCGCTGTCCGCTGTCCGGCTTCCGTGACTCCCTCAGCCTCACCTGGTTATGCCTCTCTCCACCAGGCGCCCAGTCATGAAGGCCTTCTTGCCTGTTGTTTAACATACTGTGACTGTGCCTGTTTCTGCCTCAGGGCCTTTGTACTGCTTCCTCCTCAAACCTCTTAAAGCTCCTCCCTGACTCTTTATGTGACCATCTCCTTACCTTTCATAATCCAGTTTGAGGAGCACCCTCAAATGGAGCTTCTGACCAGCACAGGTGTATATAAATACACTTTATGTACAAAAATGTATTACATATGTATGATACAGATCATTCCTCTCAGTGTCTGTTGGTTTGACAGCTTGTTTTATTTTCTCTTTAGAGGGGTAGAATTTTATCACATTTGTCATCTAAAATTAGTGACTTTGTCTATTTGTTCACTTGTCCGCCATTTCACTCTCCTAATTGACCATCCATGGTCAGGCACTTTGTCTGTCTTGCTCTTCACTGACTTCCCAGAGGCTAACACAGGGTCTGCCACAGAAGGAGCCCCTTGGATGTGAAGTGTTGGGTGGGGAGATGGTTGGATGTGTGTCTGGGTAGGTACTTGAATGGGTCGGTATGGAGGCAACAGGGGTCACAGTTGGGGAGATAAGCAGGTAAATGGATGCAGGGAGAAATCATATCTTCACTAACCACACCCTAGTACCACATTTAGAGTGTGCCTATAACAGTTTGAATTGCTTTCAAAAAGTAAACAATGCAGGGCCCTCTCTGGTGGCACAGTGGGATGGAGCGCAGCACTAAGAAGCTAAAGTCACTTCCTCGTGAGTTCAATCCCGCCTGCCCCGGAGGTGACCACATGGCGCGGCAGACCTCTCCTGACCCGCCCGCTGCTCCCCTCAGCAGTGTACTTCGTCGATCTGCCTGTTCTGCTCCCCTCTGTCTTTAGTGGGTCCTCTCACCGCCCCTGCTCCACTGGCCTGTACCCAGTTCTGTATGCACAAGTAAATAAATCTTTAAAAAAAAAAAAAAAATAACAAATGCAAAAGCCAAGAAGTAAGATAAACATTTCTCTTCAGAAAACTGGCTCCGGCGGAGGAGTCCTCTTTAAGGACCAGGCCTGGCCCCTGTTTAGGGTGGACCAAAGAGGTTGGCGATTCTCCAATGTTCTCTCGGGCACCTCCCTACTCCTGCCAAGCATCTCACCCTGTGCTTGCACTCTGTCCCTGGTGCAGTGGGTCGCAAGCAATTCATGCGGTTCGAGTGGGCAAACCACGCAGCGGAGGCCCTGGGCTGCGAGTATGAGGAGCTGAACACGGCCACCTTCAAGCACCACCTTCGACAGATCATCGCGCAGGTGACATCTGGGTCGAGCCGACGGGACCTCGAGGATGAGGGGCCCAGCTCAGGTACCACACACTTGCCTTCTTGGGTGGGCTGCGCCCCAGCTCCTGGGGACGCCCACATTTTCCCTGTCCATCAAGGAGTTACCAACGGCCCCCTCTGTGTGGGCTTTCCCGGTGCAAGGAAGCTGCTGTGGCTGTGGGTGAACATGGCTCCCACCCATGCCGCAGCTGTGGCCGAAAGTCAGTTCTGTCCAGTGGTCAAGAAGGTGCCGGAACCCTGTGTTGTGGGACACTGCTTCCACGCTATTATGTTCGTGGGACCTTTGCTCCGAAGGGGGAAGACTGGCCTTTCAGTTTGAGGAACAGAAATAAGGCCTGGTGGCCCCTGTAGATGGGCAGATAGCATGCATTGTGTCTGCACGGCAGGGGAGCGGTCAGCTCATGGAATGGCTGTGCGTGAGGGTTTCTGGCCTCGGACCTATGAGAGGCCACCGAGGGGCATCACCGGGGGATGGCATGGTTTGCCTTATTCTTTAAGTAGCTCAGCCAGAAGGAAGTTTGGGGACAGAGTGGGAGAAGCGAGGCTGCTTGGGTGCCTGGAATGCCTCCCTGGAGAGATTGTGGTGGCTGGGAAGGGAAGTGATGTTGGACATGGGTGAGGTGGACACTGTCAAGGTCAATTTATAAACAGAGATGAAACCACAGACCTTGGGAGACAGTGGGACCACGTGTGGCTTCTAGGATGTGGGCCTGAGCAGCTGGAAGACCATCTTTTAGAGGTCACTTTGGGTCCTCAGTGCTGCTCTGCCTCCAGGGGCTTCAGCTTGATGGTTGATGCCACTCGGATTCCACGGGCCTTGTTGGTTTTTCTTCCCATGTAGGTGTGAGCTGGCGGCAGCTTATGGGCACCTTCCTCTCCAAAACAGCCCCATGCCCACCACACCCACAGGGTACAGGTGCAGCATGCACAGCTGCACCAGCATCACAGATGCGCATGCAGGCACACGCCACGTGTCCGCTGATATACACCACACAAGTGTACACACACGCCCGGGCGCACGCCATACGCATACCCACATGCAGACTGTGCTGGCATCACAGCAATGTGCACGCACCTGCGCGCACGTGCAGACACAGCCACAGCCACAGACACCACATCTGCACGTAGCTGCACACCAGACATACACTGGCACACGTGCCTACCATGTATTCACAATCACGTCACACGAGTGTGTGTTTGAGACATGTACCGTCTACATGAGTGCAGGCACACACCACACGTGTGTGCACGGATGCAAGCACACCCCACATGTGTGCTCATGGATGAAGGCACACACCGCACGTGCTCATGGATGCAGGCACTCACCACACATGTGTGCATGGCCGCAGGCAAACACCACTTTGTGAGGCTGAGTCGCCCTCTCAGGCCAAGGTCTTGAGGGTAGAAGGTAAGCAGGCGAGCAGGCAGGGGACTGGCAGGCTTAGGAGAGAGGCAGGGAGTCTCTGGGTTGCCTAGCAACCGCTGGGGTTGTGGGCGGAGTTAAAGGCAGGATGGGGAAGCCTTTGGGGGCTTCAGCAGGCTGCAGGCTGCCTGGAATAAATAAGCCCACTATTTCTCCAGACACTAGTGTGTACAGGCTGGGAAACGCTCTCCCCAGTTCCATACACGCAGGTGGGATGTGTGTCGGGAACATGTTTGTGCATGTGCGGTGTGCACAGGTGGCCGCTTGTGTGAGGGGTGTGCGTGCATGTTGGCTGTTTGTGTCTGAGTGCGTGTGCACATGTGTGCTGGGGTGCGTGCACGTGGAACCCCATTCCTCACCCTGCTCTGTTCACCGCACCGTAATCAAGACGGCTATTTCAGGGAGGTGCGCGCGTTTCAGCAGTACTGACACCACCTGTGTAATGATCTTTTCTAAGCTTTTTTATTCCTCCTAACATTATAGGTTGGCACTTTCCCTCATTGAACATCTTTCTGTACCTGGATTTTAAGCATTTGTGTGAATGAACTGTAAACTATCTAACCCATTTGCTGTTGTTGGACATTCAAAGTGTTTCCAAAAAGTGATTTTTGCCCATTTAGTCAGCAATCAGGAAAACAGATGGACCCACAAATTTTTGTTTCTTTGAATATTTCATTGGGATAAAAGCCGAAGAGTGAAATTATTAAGTCCAAGTATGTGAACATTTCATGGCTTCTGCTAGAATATCGCCAAATTTCCCTCCAGAAAGAGGGAACACAAGCATTCACTTAATACCTTCTATGGTGCCAGACTCTCAAGATTTGAGTGCCAGCAGACCCTAAGGGAGACCCCATAACAGGGCTGATGGGGAGTGGGGGCAGGGGACTCCAGGCCAATACAGTAACCACCTAGTAATAAGTGAAAACGTCCAGGGGTCAGTGCTGTAGAGGTAGGTGGCACTTCCTTCCTGTCTGACCTCGTTCACTTAGCCAAGTGGCCCCCAGCTCATCGCTGTTGCAGCAAAGAGCAGGTTTCCTTATTTATTTTACAGTTGAATAATAAACCATGTGACCCCACTTTTATTAGGAACCGATAGCAGGCTAAGCCATAGAAGCTGGCAGTGAAACTGTGTTTACCAGGGACTGAGGGCAGGCAAGCTGGGGATGTGCGAGTCAAAGGACACGTTTCACTCCTGCAAGTTGCATAACCCCTCGAGAGTAGATGGAGAAGATGAGCAGGGGAGGAGTAAGTCTGCTATATAGCAGCCCCTAGTGCTGACGATCCTGCATTGTATACTCAGAAATTGCCTGAGGGTGGATCTGGTGTTGAACGTTCTTTTCTCTCTCTCTCTCTCTCTCTCTCTCTCTCTCTCTCACACACACACACACACACACACACACACACACGCAGAGGAAGGGTGGAAACTTTCAGAGGTGATGACTGTATTTACGGTATTGTTTATGAGGGCATATATTCCAACTTGTTGGGTTGTATGTATTCACTAGGTGGGTATGGCTTTTTGCTTGTTGTTCATGCCCCACTTGATCAGTTAAGCAAAGAAGCACGGTGGCATGGGGAGTTGGCCCCACGGAATTGGTGGTGGGTGTCATGGCAGGCTCCCCAAACAGGAGGCGTTGAACTGAGCCCTCAGGGAGGGGCTGGAGAGCACTGGACAGGGTCTGGTTTCACAGGGCCCAGCACGTCTTGATAAGACACTAAAATGTGGGTCAAAGCGCATGGCCGTTGGGCTTCAGCAGTGAGGGGTGTGGATGAGGGACAGCAAGCCTCTGAGGCCACTGTGTTGCCTCTGGGGTGAGTCTTGGCCCTAGCCAGATCCTGACCGCGGGATGTGATCCTTCCCTCTGCCCCTCTAGGGCTCAAGATGACAGGCGTGGAGTGTGTGGAGGGGATGGCCGCAGGCCTGTACCAAGAGCTCTTTGCTGCTGTGGTCTCGCTCATCAACAGGTAACAGCAGCCCTCCCCTGGGCACAAAGCCCACCTCTGCCAGTACGCCAGCGAGACCAGGTGCGAGCCGCTGGGCGTTGTGGCCAGCTGCTGGCTCTCTGGCCACCTCCCCTCTCTGATGTCTCCTACGTCTGCAAAATAGTGCTGTCTTCTACCCTGGGGCCATTCTAAGGAATCATAGAGATAATGTATTTAATTAACTCCTATCAGTGCTCATAAAATACCAACCATTAAAGCTCAAATCTGGGGTTACCCACTGAGGTCCAGGGCCTGCACTACGTTCAACTTGCCCTGCATCATTTAATACTCACTCCAGCCCATTGTGCAGACAAGGTATGTAAGGCTGAGGGTGGAGCTGAGGTGGAAACAGCACACTCTACTTCCACTCAAACCTTAGGTTTCCCTGGCCGGCCATGTTGTTCTCATCCATTTATTTTTCTAAATTTCCCTGTTGGGAGTGGGGAACAATCAGAGTAGAATTTGGGAACAGGCTAGGAAGTGCCTCAAATGTGTGTGGGGGCAGCGGGCACCGGGAACTAATGTTTCCTGCCATCGTGAGTGACACTCTGTGGCCCTCTTTGGAGCCCAGGCAAGGGCTTCCCTCCTCCTCTGAGAAAGAAGGAGACATAATTAGGCTCCCAACATCGCGGGGAGGAGATGAGGCCGGTGCATAGCAACAGAGCAGCGGGTTTGCCAACGTCGCCACGGACACAGAATCGGCTCCCTCTGTAGCTGCTGGAGTAATTACCATCTGAGAGCACAGGCACATTATCTAGAAACCGAGGGCTCCATGCATGCTCAGAGGAGGGAGCGCGGGGGTGCAGACGGATTGCCGGGGCAGGAAGTGGCCAGGGCGGTTGCTCCCTGGTGTGTGGTCATGGAGTCCACACCCCAAGTGTATTCACAGCAATGTCCACTACTGTTTCTGAGCACCCAGAAAGTCTGACTTTCTGAGCGTTAATTTTGTCTTCAGATATCACCCCGTTTTACTGATGGTGAAGCTTGGGGAGTAACGGGAAGCGCTCAGGTCAACTACGGGGCCACCCACCAAAGCATAGAGCCGATCACGCTAATACTAGCAGATGACATTTCGTGTGTGCGCACCCAGGGCCCAACCATGCTGAGGGGGCTGCATGCTTGGTCCCGTGCAGCCCTCCCCTCAGTAGCCCTCTGCATTAGGCTCCATCATCAACCATTCATGGCGGAGCCTCAGAGGTCCGGCAACTTCCCTAAGACACACAGCCACTCCACGCAAGTGAGAGTTGAAGCCCACACGTGGCTGTCCCCAGAGTTTCTGATCTCTGAGCTGAATAATCGCTACTCTGTCCTCCTGATAGGCTTGATAGGTTTGTCAGAAGAGGAGGTAGTGACTTGAAAGAACTTTGTAAACTGAGGCACTAAACAAAATTGCTTTCTCATTTCAATGTGTCAGTAAGAAAAGAAAAGCAAGCTACAGTCTTAACTTACAGCCATTTTACAGTGTTACGGTAAGCACGTCATTGCTCTACTCAGCCTGGCAGAGAGAGACATTTCCTGAAGCCGCTGTCCCCAGAGGAGCACTTACCAAACTTAGATTCCTTTAACTCTGGCCGGGGCCATCCTCCGCGGCCCCTGGGGCCATCCTCCGTGGCCCAGGTTCATCCTCCTCGGCCCAGGTTCATCCTCCACGGTCCAGGTTCATCCTCCGCGGCCCCTGGCGCCATCCTCCAAGGCCCAGGTTCACCCTCCGTGGCCCAGGTTCATCCTCCGCGGCCCCTGGGGTCATCCTCCGCGGCCCAGGTTCATGGTCCGCGGCCCCTGGGGGAGGGGGCAGCTGGGACAGTGGGAGCCCTCCGAGGCTGTGTCATCTCAGGGCCTCTCTCCTCTCTCCAGATCCTTCTCCTCTCACCACCTCTCCATGGCCTCTATCATGGTGGTGGACTGTCCAGGCTTTCAGAACCCCCGGCACCAGGGCAAGGACCGGGCGGCCACCTTCGAGGAGCTGTGCCACAACTACGCCCATGAGCGCCTGCAGTTGCTTTCCCACCAGCAGACCTTCGTCTCCTCGCTGGCGCGGTACCGGGAGGTATGGCGGGG